GCTGCAGCAGTCGCACTTACTGGAGGGCAGAGGCAAGAGTGTGCTAGCAAGCCTTGTGTGTTCTGTCACACTTTCCCTTGGGGAGGCTCTCAAAGCAGGCTGACGTTGGCCTTCATCCCAGTTCATCTTAAAGCATGTAACTGGCCCAACTACCCGTCCTGATGCCCAAGCTGCAGAGCCTGATGAAGAGACTGCTGCTGTCCCAGTTCATCGCTCCTCTTTGCTGGCAACAGGGACTTGCTTTCTGAAAGTGGAGTAGGTCTCTCCTCCCCTCTGCGTGCATCAGTGGTGTCTCGTGCATACATATCACTTACGGCTCAGGGAGTATCTTGACTTCAGGGAGCTGTGGCTGAGAGCGCGTTCCAGACAGTATCTCACTGCTCGCACCCCATTCATGTGCTCTTCCCTTGGCACCTGCTTTGGCCACTGTCAGAGGTGAGCCGTAGGGCTGGCCGCCCCTCTGATCAGAGGGGGTAAAGCTGCTTTTACAAACTGCTCTATGCGACTAGCCAGTCTGCAGGGCGAGCTGCAGGGCATCCCCATCGCTCGGGGTGCCTGGTCCTGGCTGGCTGCCTTCTGCCCTCTAGTGGGAAGCTCTGCAGGAAACAGGTGCTGCACAGCAGCTGAGCAGGGGTGCAGGAGCATCCCGTACTTTAATCTTTGTGAGCCCCACTGAACGTCTGGCATCTCTCCAGAAGCCCAGTCTCAGAGGTGGATATCGCCTTGAAAGGCAAACCTGAGCTGTGGAAGTCAGGAAAAATATTGAGGAGCTGGTAAACTGCTGCTATTGAAGGCTTAGCCCATGACTGTGCGTCTAATGAGGGTGGTAGTGTTGACAAGGATGTGTGGAGGGCCAGTGCTGGGAAAGGTGGATGTGCTCTAACATTTGTAGGTGGCATGGGAGCTACAGCCAAAACCCAGGGAGCCTGGCTGCTGCCACTTGAAGAAATCAATGCAAATGTTCGGGAAAATGATCCTGCCCAGAGAGTGAGCTGCCACTCACCAGTGGTCTACTGACCAAGTAGTACTGAAGTAGTAACAAGTCAAGCACCGAACAGCCCAGAGTCCCAGCTGAAAAAATGTACCATGTCTGCTCAAAAAGGGTGTGAGACCTGCTATTAGGGTTTTATATCCCATTAGTGGCCAGATGTACCATTCAAAGAGCCCTTGTTGCTGCCTCACTTTACAATCTAGCCTTTATTTTCCATGTATGATCCTAGTAGAAGCGCTCATCGGTACCTCTGCCTCCTCAGTGCCTGTGTCCTGTGCAAAAAGAGATGTCTGAGGTACACAGAGCTCAAGCTGCTTCTCTGCCAGGCACCTTTGCCAGTTTGTGGATAAGTTTTGGGCAGTTGTGCAGCTCCAGTTTTGCAGGGTGCTTCTAAAGCTGCTGGTCCCCCACTGTGTATGGTGTACCCCCAAATCTTTTTACTGAGGCCGTAGGTAGGTCAAAATTGTTTTCCTCTCCTTACTAGTTGTTCTCAGGCTTACAGGCAAAGCACAGGCTCTAACCTGCTCCTCCTGTACTGTGCACAGATGTATTTTCATCCCATTTTCCTCCCTTTCTACCAGCCTTAGGAACTGTACCTCTGGTTTTTATTCCCCTGGCATCAGGAGCTTTAGAGATGTTTGGCATTCACTGAAACATTGTCCTTGAAATGCAACAGTAAAACTAGCCACTGTGTGTGTCCTCTGTGAGCAGCAGTCACCTGTTGGGACAGGAGGTTGGATGAGTTTGCAAACAACACCTGGAGCCACTGCTTTGCTGCTGGCACTGAATTTCACAAAATGCATGTGTTACAGGAGCTTTGCTTTTCAAGAGGAACTCACAGGCCAGGTCGGTGACAGTGTTACAAGTGTTTCATCAGACTTCAGAGCAAAAACTCCAAATTCGTCATTTAACCAGAGGAGAGAGGAAGCAGCTGGGAAGCTGCAGCCTGGAGCAGAAATAAAAAAATGGAAAAAAATGTGCCTAGATTGATGCTTTGGGGTGTTTTCAAAGTGTGACTTCAGTGTCTAAGAACATACTCTAGAAAATTGCATACTCTAGAAAATTTCACCTTTGAGGTTTTAATGCTATCAGACAGTTAACTCAGTGAGTTCCTGGATTTGCTCCTCTCTCTCTCTTCCCCCCCCCCCCCCCCCCCTTCGTCGCCCCCCCCCCCCCCCCTTCTTGAGTCTTATTTTGATGTAACTGCTTGCAGTTCAGAATCCCAATTTCGAAAGTCAGTGCTTGCTTAGCTAAGGTGAGTGAGAGTGTGTGTCTGTGTGCATGTGTGTCAGTGCACACATGTGCATGCTCCTTAGCCAGGGGCAGTGCTGTTGGGGTGCTGGTGTTTGTGTGTATGTGTGTGTGCTCCTTTTCGTTACCATCATCTTAGCTGGGGGTGGTGGTAGTGGTGGGGGTGTGAATGCGTGTATGTGTACATGTCCTCCTGTTTGTTACCTCCTCGGCCAGCAGCGGTGGTGGGGTGTGTACTCCTGCTTGGTACCAGGTTGAATAAGGAGGTAGAGTGGAGTGAGTGAAAAGTAGGAGCTGCTTTATTTTGTTGCATGTTTAAAAAGCCATGATCAGGAAGGAGGATTTTTGGCTGACTGACCATCCCAGTTAGTGATGGAAAGAAGGCAGCATTTTTGAAGATAATACCAGGAAATGGTGAGTACCTTTCACCAGTAAATGGTCGGTAGTGGAGTGTAGGAGTGCTGGAGTTCCAGGAGGCTGTCACACTGTCCTGTCGGAGCTCATTTTCCTTGTTGCTGTCAGTCACTGTTGCTGTCAGAGTGTACAGTCGTGTTCACCACAACTCACTATAGAGGAAGTTCTTGCAGTAGTTCCACAGCTCAAGAGCAGTTGCTACTTATCCTGTTTAATTATATGAGCAAGTAGATCCAGATTTATAATTTACCTACCAAAAAGTTCAGTGACTTGGGATCACACAGCAATCGGTTTTGGGCAAGACCATGGGATAGTTCCCATGGGATTTGGCTGAAGTGTTCGGGAAGGCATACCGTTCTGATCACTGTGGATCGATCCTGTCCTATAGAGATGTGCAGGGATTAGTGTGTGACCCACTGCTATCCAGTACTGGCACTAAACACCTAGCGGTGACACAAATCTGGGTGATGCAGGGATTGGTTAAGTAACAGATCAAAAGAGGGTCATCAGGGACAGCCAAGCTGCTAAAAAGCACCCTTTTAAAAACTGCATGCTCTTGTGCTGCAAGTAAGTATATGAAGACTCCAGAACATATGTGCTAATCCCTGTAGGAAGGGTAGTAGTATTTTAGAAAGAACTGTTTTGAGAAGGAGTTGGAGTTGCAGGGTACAAGCTATACCTGAGCTGGTGACGTCTTTGAGTGCTGCAGCGGGGGAAGAGCAGAGGGTGGAAGTGGGTAGCCACCTTCCTGCATGTGGTATGGGAAGGACCAGGAGCAGAGTACAGGATCTCCCAATGTGTAAAAGAGATTTTGAAAACTGGAGAGGGGTAGAAAGAGAAGAAAGAAGCTTTAAAGTGCCTTATTGGAGATAAAAGAGCTGCCCAAGTGGTCAGAGCTGATCAGTATGCATGTATTCTTCCCCGACGGAAAATACCAGGTACTGACAGGACTGCTGAGTGCCTCAGGGAGGAGCATGAAGAGCTAATGAGTGGATTAGTTCGGGTAAGGAGTGTTTTCACAGCGAGGACAACTGCCAGGTAGAATCATAATCTTTCAATATCCTCAAATTAAGACTGGATATATCCTTATGGAAGCTTTAATCTTTTGGGGATAACTTTTCCATGCAGATAACTATCACAACTAGATCAGTGCTTGTATGGAAAATTTGAGTAGATGTTCTGTCCTTGGCTTACACATTCAAGCCTCATTCCTCTCTGTGGCTCGTCTAGGGACTAGGGACAGTCAAAGTGAGCACTGGTTAGTGATGGTGTTAGCTAAGCTTAGTGTCTTTGCAAGCTTTTCCTTAGTATATCTGGTATAGTTGCTGTACCCCATCTTTTGGGCTAGCACTCAGTCCTGCCCTCCCTGCCCTAGAGGTGGCCTCCCTGTCTTTGGCCACACTCCGCACAGCTCACTCCTAACCTTGCCTAAGTATTTCTGGGGAGCAAGAAGCCTGCCCTAGATGATAAGATTTCTCCCTTGCTACAAGCAGAAGCTCGGAGGGGAAGGGTGGATAGAGATGGGATCACTGATTGCAGTGCTGGGGTGCACAGGGTACAAGGGTTTAGGGGGCTATAGCCCTGGGCTTTGGCTGAAGGAATCCAGGCCATCTGGCAAAGAGGCGGGCAGAGCCTGCCTGCTCTCCCAGCTTCCTGACTTCTGGTCTCACCATGCCCTGCTAGCTAACGTCAAAGGACAGAGCAGCAGGGTTGCAGTCACAGTCCAGCAAACCTTCTGCACAAGTTAAAATCATTTTAGCAGGGAGAGCAGGGATGTGGTAGGAGGTGAGTGATTGCTAAGCCCTAAACCTGTCCTGCAGTATGGCTGTCTGTCCTTCTCTTTCTAGTATTGTTCCACCTCTGGGCTGTTCTACACTGTTGCTGTACATTAGCATAGCAAGAGCAGGTTTTTTTCCTCCTTAAAGAAAAAAGAAAAAAGCAGGGGGGAATACATTTGGCCCTCAGAGAGTACAGTGTGTCAGACAAAAAGGTATTTGGTAGTGGTCCATCTGTTCTCCAGGAAGGGTGGCCTAAATCTCAGGTACAGCACACTGGTATCCACAAAAGCCCTGGGTGCCGCTGGCTGCAGCAATGCAGACACTGAGCGTGGAGCACAGAGGCTAGCTTGCAAAGCATGAGTGTCGGTCCTACTTGTTGTAAAAACATGTCTGGCCTGTGCTCCCTGACATATACAGCGGAGTCCTGCTGCTGGCTCCTAGGCAGGAGGTCAGGGTGGCTGGCTGTTGCACAGGCACTGACTAATCCTTCGAGCAGCAAAAATAGCTCTTCTCACTCACTCAGCCTCAGGCTCCTTCGTGGGTCTTTCCTGGAAGTGCCACTTACCATGCGGGGTCCCCAGGATGAGGTTGTCAGGGTGGCTCTGCTGTATGAGGCTTCCTGCAGGGCTGCTGCCTCCCACCTTCCCAAGTCAGCTCTGTGTGGTACTGCACAAGAGAAGAGCTGAGTTGTGATGTCTGCATGGGAACATTTGCCTTAACTAAGTCCAGGATAAGAGTGGATTTAAGTGCTTTGGTTTATAAATACACAGCACTGTGGCCAAGGTAGATTTAAGCAGAGCTGGCAACAGCCCTACTTGGGAAGGGATCTCTTTACCACATGGCCTGCTGTTGGACTTCCTGTCGTATGCTAATCCCTTAAGCCTGCTTTAGCTCTGTTAATTTTCCTTCTTTCCTTTTTTTTTCCCCAATGGACTGTCTTGGTGGCGCATGAATGCCAGTGTTCCTCGGCCAAGCTTGTGCCTGCGGCTGGGCCAAGCATCCAGACTGCCTTCTGAGCACCGGGTACCATGTGGCAGGGCCCCAGGGATGGTGGTGCCTGAATGTGTCCCATTCTCTCTGTCTTACAGGCTCTGCAGTCTGCGCCTGAAGAAACTCACGGTGCTGAAAGAGCTGGACAAAGAGCTGAGCTCTGTGCTTATCGCTGTGAAGATTCAGGTAGGCTCCTCTCCTTGCTGCTGCCTGACGGCAGCAAGCCCATCCTTGTGCCCCCTGTGAAGTGCTGATCTGCATGTCCCTTGCCTTGTGCCAACCCCTTGCTTCTGTCTTGGTTAGCACCCTTGGGGAGATTTTGGCTCTCAGGCAGGTGAGAATGATGCCCCAGGGACAGCAGCAAGCTGCCTGGTGCTGAGTTGTATCAGGGATGAATTTGGTTAGGCCTCTGCACTGGGGCAGAGTGCATCTTCCTTCCCTGCCTGCCTCAGCCAAGGCCCTCTTCTCGAGCTGCTGTTTGGAGTTTGGCATCCCCTACCCCACCATACCCAACCCTTTAGACAGGCTTAGTGCTGGGTGGTTTCTGGCAGTGCCCTCCACCCGGATCCCCTCCCGGGGAGTGAAGGGTGGGAAGGGAAGGGTGCAAGGGATCAGAGGCTCTGTGCGTGACTTCTGCTGACATTGCACCCTGATCTCACTGCTGCCTCTGCTGTCCTCTCCCTTTCTCTGTGCATCCCTGCTAGGCCTGGTGCCTCTACCAGGCATAGGGGAGGGGAGGGGATCTTTGTCGCCAAGGGGAGAGGGAATTTGCCCCCATCCTCGTATGTGTGATCCTCCCTCCTCCCTCTCTGTAGCTGGTGGTGAAGAGATGGGTCCCTGTGGGTGCAGGCACATCCTTTCCATCTGCCAAAGGACAGCATGGAAGCAAGATGCCTGTTGAGGATGCTGTTCTCACCACAGCTCCCCTAACCCAGCTGGGATGCTGATGTCCTTCCTTCGTTCTTGTCAGCTGGCAGAAAAGCAGCTGATCCCATTGAAAGCACCGTGGGGCGGGAGCTCAGCAGCTTTGCGCTCCCACAGAGCTCTTTGTGCCTCACGCATTAAGATCCAAATCCTGGATTAGTGCTGGAAGCTGCAGTATTAGCGGAGCTCTGGGAGCCGGGGTTTGCCTTCATGGCAGACCCGATTCACTTGCAAAGAAGGAACTCAAAGCAAAATGTGTGAAACCTGGGGCCTGGAGTGAGGACAGTAGGAGGATGCTGTGGGCCACACGCTATTGATTGATGTCCCACTTTGCTGGCCTTTCCATCACTGTGTGTATGGTGCCATTCAGGAGAGCTGAAGCACTGGGCTTTCAGCCCCGAGACCCCCGAGACCTGTGCCCCTTTGGTGCAGGCTTTGGCAAGGGAACAACCTGGGCAGGAGAGAGCTGCCTGGCCCCTGGAAATGCAGGAGCAGTCAAGGCTGGGCCACAGGTGCCAGCAGCACAGGACTTGGGGCTGGGAGACAGCTGGGGGCTGTGGGTCCCACGTGGCTGGGAGGGCTAGGCTGGTCCCTCACTCCTTTTATCTCCTGCACTGTTGGCCCAAGCTGTCTGTGCTTCTCTGGACTGGGGAACCTTGGGCTCCCGTGCAGCCCCTTATACTGGGGCTGCCATGTGCTGAGCATGTATGTCCTCAGCTGCCCCCTCTCTCATGCACTGCAAATGTGAGACTGTGGAAAAGGCTGCACAGTGGCACTTCAGCTCTTTCAAACAGATCACCCCCATCCCTGCCACAGGCCAACCTTGCACCCTGTTGGCAAAAGAAATTAACAGGCCTCAGCAGTGACTGAGGCCGCAGGGGCTCTTCACTGCAGGGCTCCTTTCCCTGCCAGGGAACGGAGGCTGCATTCAGGGTCTTAATCTAAACGTGGTCACATACCTCTGCGTGACCACATACCTGTGGCTGCATGGTGGTGTAGGCTCCCTGCAAAGCTGAAGGAAACTGGAGGAGAATGCTCCCCCTACATTACCCCATGGCTCGACACTCATTGTGGGAGTTGAGTATACTTGTGTGCCTCCCCAGGCTGCTTCCACCTGCCTGACCAGCCGCCTGGGCGGGGTCAGGGGCTGCGGAACCTTCCTGGAAGGCAGATGGAAGCTGTAGGCAGCTTCAGCACAGCCTGCCTACAGAATGGCCTCAGATGGATCCATCCCTCCTGCTCCTCTCCTAGGTAACAGATGAGTCACGCTAGCAAGAAGCTGTTTGAAGGCTGCCCAGCAAGCATTGCCATCTCCATCTTTTGGATGGAAGCAGCCGATGCATGTAATTTGTGGAGGACCTGCAAGTTCCCGAGAGGGCAGCTGGGGACTAGTGGAAAGGGGAGCTATATTTTCTCTCATTTCAGTAGTAGCTCTGTTGGGTTAGGGAAGTTGCCTGTCAGGAAGTTGCTGCTCTGAAAGGCAGGTTGCATGGAAACAAATCTCTGACCCTGCCTGAGTGGGGCTGGCACCAAGACAAGAGCCCCAGTGCTGGAGACAGTTTGCTCAATGAATGCACATGACCCAAAGGATAGTGTAAGCCTGTCTAGAATATCTGATCTCCTTCTCACAGTGATCATGCCCTTCTGGTCTTAAAAGATAGCTTCCAAGTGTGGCATGTGCTGTTATCTGCTCCTTCATCTGAAAAGACCTCTGTCAAAGGACTAAGGGAGCTTTCATTGTCTACAGAACATACCCATTTCCCAGAGTTGATTTGAATATTTAATGTTCAGTGGCTTCCGGTGAGATAAAGTCTGAACTACTGTGAAAAACGGCACTTACTCTCATATCACTTGAGTGGTTTTTAAACCTTTATCCCTTGTTATTTGTTTTAACAAACTGGAGATGTCATAGAGCATTTCCTTCTGTGTATTGTTCAGCATGGCATAGAATCATTAAGAGATTCAGATGTGCCTGGCTCAGCTCCATAAAGGTGCAGATATCTGTCTTGCCATCATAACTGATTATGGTGTGAAGGGAAACGTGGTGCTCCCTCTCGGCAGAGAGACTTACTATAATTCAGAAACACCCAGTCCTGAGCCGTGCATAGAGGAAACAATCAAAGAAAGAAGAAAACAAGCTCCAGCACTCTGAGAAGTTTCAGCTCCTGTGACAGGTGCTGTGGGAGGGATGCAGATCCTCCTGCAGCTGCTTGCAGGATGTGGCTGGTGACTCAGGTTCAACCCTTGGTGCTGCCGTAGAGGGATGATGCTGGCAGCCCCTACATAGTGGACCAGAATGTGTGCTACAAAATAGGCCAGGCTGAGAAGCTTGTTTGCCCCTGCCAGGCCTGCCTGCTGCCCTGGCCCTGCTCCCTGCAGGAATTTAGATTTTTTGCTCCTTCGTGCTATGGATGGAAGGTACATGCAGTTTTCTGTCTACTGCTCACTCATGCTTTATTTCTAATCTTTTGCAACCACTTGCAGGATTTTCCAGTCCTGCCTGAGCAATCCCCACTACCCCCTAAATAACTACATTTGCTGATAATACTTAATGAGCTATTATCTCCCAAAATGCACCTTTAGCTTGAATTCTGGGTAGTGCTTTGCTGTCTGCCTTGGCCTGGTCTCCCAAACTGTATTAGTTCTCTCTCCTTTTCTAGGTTTGGTATGCTCTTCTAGCTTCAACCCTGTGTTTTAAACAAGACCCATCAGGACAGATTTATACCTGAAAGTGGGGATTGTACCCTGGAAACCAGACCTGAGCATCACATGTCTGTTTATAGTAGTGAAAGGTCCTGTATGTTTTCAGTCTATTAGGTCGTGAAGATCTGTGCTCACAACCTCTGCCTGTTGCTTTTCACTTCCTTGACAGTCTTTGACATCTGTGATCTTCACTGTAACAGTCTGATATTAAGTTTTCCTGTAGTACTGATGGTGATACTGAGCTGTTTTGCTGAGAAATTGGTCTTGCCTGACATTACTCGAATTGCAGAACAGCTGAGCTACATCAGGTGCTCAAGGCCATGTCCAGTTGAGGTTTGAATTTCTCAAGGGTTGGAGGATCCTTGGTCTTCCTATATCCTGTCCCAAGGTTTGAATGCACTCATAGGGGGGAAAAAAAAAAGTCCCAACATCTAACGGTAATTTCCCATGTTCCAGCTCATCCCCGTTGCCTCTCACTCTATCCCTGTGCACCTCTGAGAGGGGTTCAGTTCTGTCTTCTCTGCACCCTCCTGCTAAGTGTCTGTAGGCAGCAGTAAAGTACCCCTTCACCCTCTCTTTTTCCAGCTGAAAAAACCCAGCTCACTCAGCTTCTCCTTGTATGTCCTATGCTCCAGCCCCTGACCATCCTGATGTTTTCTACTGGACTTGCTCCAGTCTGTCAATGTCTGTCTTGTATTGGGGAGCCCAAACTGACTCTGGAATCCACTTGTGGTGTCACCAGTACTGAACAGAGGGGGGGGAATCCTTTTTCTCTGCCTGCACATTTGCTGAGGCTGAGATTGGTGTCATTGCAGCAGGGCATGCTGCTGAGGTAGGGGTACCTTGATGTCCCCCAGGGTTGCCCCTGTCCCTTTCTGCAGAGCCTGTCCTGCTGCCTGGGGTTCTTCCCAGGCAGCAAAGTCGTGGGATGTCCTAGGGAAGGACTTTGCTTTGGCCTTTATTGAACCTCATGAGGTTTGTGTCAACATTACTAGAAATCCTAAATTATTCTTAACTCCCTGTTGCTGATAGGCAGGTAGTAGCCCCCAGGTGCTAGTTTCTAATCTGTTTAATTAGCAAGGGAGCAATGCTAGTTTCTGCTGGGTCATAGTTTGCTCCTGAAGGTGATCAGTGTTTCCTACTGGATACGTGAGTGCCATCCACTTCATGAAACCTAGCATACCTTGCAGACTGAACTTGACCTTTAGGCAGTGGCTTTACTTTGCTGAGAGGACTGTACTTCGCACATCTACAGTACAATGTTTAGCTATTTTTCTACCGCTTGTCCCAAGTGCTACGCTCCATGATGCCCTGGGAGCTGGTCCTCTGGCTGAGCTTAGCCATTATGATCTGTCTCCCTTCATGTGACCCCACAGACCAGGTATCTCAGCCCAGGTGCAGCCTGACAGGTCATTGCAGCTATAAAGAACTGACCTGGACCTAAAAAGTGTTCCTCTTTAGGTGCTGCTCCCTTCTGCTTGCATTGTGATAATGAACCAGCCTTTGTCCCAGTCCTTGCCACATGGATGTGCACTGGTGTTTCACAGAGGGCCAGAGCCTAGGATTGGAGATGGGTGTGTAACTTCCATAATGGTAAAGGACAGTAACACACAGGACAGCAATGTTTATGAAACCTTCAATCACTGGATGTGCCACCAAGGCTGTCCTCACCTGTCATTTGCTGTAACTCTGTCCCCAGAATAGCATCTTCAAGAAGAATAATTGCACCAGTATGCGTGGTTGGATGAAAAAATTAATCTTTGGTGGATAATCTCTCTGCAACAAACAGCAAATGGTAAACGTGCTAAAGTAAATGGTCACTGCCATAGTGACCGCCTATCATCTCTTATTAAAGAAGAGTTCAGGAAGGAAGAGTCAGTACATTCTTGGCCAGGAAAGCTCACAGATGGCGAAAGGGATGAGCTCCACCTCCTCTCTTCAGTTTTAGGAAGACCTTTCACAGGACAGCCTTACTCCTGGCACAGTTGCCGTGAACAACGTTGCAGACAGCTCAGACTGGGCCTCTTGAAAACCAAGGAGGGTTTCACTGGAGCTTGTCTTTGCTCTAGCTCAGTGAGAATTGTAATGCTGCATCATTGCAGAATGTGGAGGCCTTTTTTGCCTCCCTTCTATAGGTTGTTTGTTTTTTTTTCCTTGCTAGCATGGGTAGCACTAGCAATGGAGGTGCAAGAAAGCACCACCCAGGCTTGCTGGACCCTGCTGAAGCTCCCGTCAGCAACCTTCCTTGGTGCTCACTGAGTGCTGAAATACACCTGTGCCCATTGACATTCTCTTTGATTGCAGAGGGGGTGTAGCTGTGGTCTCCTTTACGGTGTCACCTGCATGCTCCTGTCATGACTTCTGGGGCTGCTGTCCCATTTGCAGTGGAGATGAAGAGCTGGGGGCTCTAACTTCACCAAGGCTCTAACCTTAGCCAAATCTAGGATTTGTCTAAGTTACTGAAGAGACTCTGGCCATGGCCAACTTAGGATCCTGCTGGCCACCGCATCTGTCAGGATCAAGCTGGGAAGGGTATAGGGATGCAATGAGGTCCTGGGAAGTGGCAAAATACATGAGGTGGGACCCAGTTCCTTTGGACTGCTGTGCCTATTTGGTTGGTTTTTACCCATCTGCTCACTAGCCCACAGCTGAAATTAAGGAGCGCTCACAAAAGCAGTTGTGTACCCTGATGAAGTTTGCCAATGATACCAAACTGAGTGGGGAAGTGGACACTTCAGAAAGGAGAGCCACCCTGGCAGGAAGACCTGGATAGGCTGGAAGAGTGGGCTAGCAAGAATCTTATGAAGTTGAACAAAGACAAATGTAAGGTCTTGCACCTGGGAAAATATAATCCAGGAATGCAGCACAAGCTGGGATCTACCTGTTTGGGGAGCAGCTCTGTAGAAGGGGACCTGGGGGTCCTGGTGGACAAGAAGTTCAATATGAGTGAACAGTGTGCTGCTGTGGCAAAGAAAGCCAACAGGATGCTGGGCTGCATCAACAAGGGCATCACCAGCAGAGATAAAGAAGTCATTATCCCACTCTAGTCAGCACTTGTCAGGCCACACCTGGAACACTCTGTTCAGTTTTGGTCTCCGCTATACAAAAAAAAGTTGTGGACAGGCTGGAGAGGGTCCAGAGAAGGGCCACAAAGATGATCAAAGGACTGGGAAGCCTGCCATGTGAGGAAAGGCTGAGAGAACTGGGTTTGTTCAGCCTTGAGAAAAGAAGGCTTAGGGAAGACCTATCACCACATTCCAGTATTTAAAGGGTGGCTACAAAGAAGATGGAGACTCCCTTTTTACAAGAATTCACATGGAAAAGATGAGGGGTAATGCGTACAAGTTACTCCTGGGGTGATTCCGACTGGACACAAGAGCAAAAATTTTTCAGCCATTACAATAATCTCCCCAGGGAAGTGGTGGATTTCCCCAACATTGAACACTTTTAAGATTCAGCTGGACAGGGTGTTGGGCCATCTTGTCTAGACTGTGCTTTTGCCAAGAAAAGTTGGGCCAGATGATCCTTGTCCCTTCCAACCTGGTATTCTATGATTCAATGATAACTGATTTGCAAGAACAGCTGTACTGGCCTATCCTGTTGGCTACCTAGATCAATGGCTCAGCTTGCTGGCCCATTCATAAGGAGGCAGGAGAAGAGTGAGAAACCACCGTGGGCTGTTTTATACTTGGAGCTGGTCCCACAGCCCTGCAGGGACACAGCCAGTGGACATGGGCCTTTTGGGGGGTCCGTGAGTTGTACCACCCTGCAATCAAGAGAGCCTGGTGCATGCAGACAGCATTTTTCATCCCCCAAGTCATTCAGTGTCTCTGTCAGCAGCCAAGCCATAGGGATAGTAAAGATAGGACAGACATAAAGGAAAGAGTTTGAGTGGGCATGTGGTTAGAGTGCGTCTCCTACTGCCCTCCTGGTGGGGCCAAGAAAACATTTATATATGTGGAGAGATAAGGACTGTTGCCTGAGGAAAAGACTAGGAGAAGTTTTCTGAGAGACAAGTTGGGCAAGCGGGGGGACCCCTGTCCCCTTGCGGCATCCTGCCTTGGTCCCAGCAGAGCCATCCTGCCAGTTGTGTGTGGGCAGGGGTCTGCACTGGGTCCGTCTGCTGGGGGGCAGAGATGTGCTCCAGGACCTGTCCCTTTCCTGGCTAGGCAGTGTGTTGGGACCCTTTCCTTCTCCTGCTGCTGCTGTATGCATGGCTCCCTCTGGCCCTAGCAGTATCCCCTTCCACAGCATCTGGTGGGCTCCAGGTGCAAGGAGACAGATTAAGCAGAGCAGGCTTGGGAAGAGCAAGTGCTCCCTGGCAGGTGGGCAAGAAGAAGGGGCCTTTGGCAGCTCAGGAGAAACTGCAGGCTTTTGCGAAGAGTTGATTGGTGTGTGTAAGGTGGGTCTGCAAGGTGGAACAGAACAGAGTCAAGGCACTGGCTCTTTCCTTGTGGACTGTGAACGCCATTGACTTGTGTGTGTGATGCAGTGGAGTCTGCAGCCGAGATGCTTCAGCTTACCTGTGTGCATCTACCAATCTTGTTGTAGGGTTCAAAGAGAGTCCTGAGGTCAAATGAATACGTCCTCCCGCCTGGTGGCCTGATGGAGACTGAGCTGGAGCTGACCTTCTCACTGCAGGTACCTTGTGTTGCCTGGTCCCCTGGGCTCCCTGGTGCTCCCTTCACCTGGCATTTCTCGGCAAGCACGGCTTCGGGGGCTCAGTGTGAAGGGGGCAGCCTCTGAGGAGGGACCTCCTGTGGTTGGTCATGCTCAGATCATAACAGCACAGATTGCTGCTGCTGGCCAGCTGTTCCGTTGCTCCAGGGGTTGTTTTGCTGGGCAATGTGGATTTGGAGGATGATGTGGAGTGTAGGCGGCCTTTGAGGGGCATAGGTCAGATCCTGCTGTACATCAGCACTGAGGATGAGTTTTCTACCTGTGTATCACGCTGAGCCCTGCCCTCATGCTGCCATCTTCCCTGTGCTTCCCTTCCCCAGTACCCACACTTTCTCAAGAGAGATGGCAACAAACTGCAGATCATGCTGCAGCGGAGGAAGAGATACAAGAACCGCACGATCCTGGGCTACAAGACCCTTGCAGTGGGCATCATTAACATGGCCGAGGTACAGGGTGCTGGGAACAGAGGGGAGCTTTGCATGGCCTCCCTGTGCCAGCGCTGGGAAGGGAGCTGGACCTGTTGGCAGGCTCTCAGTGACAGCACTGGCTTGTTGGCTAGTTGGCTAGTTGGCCAGTGAGTGCTCTGGCTTGTTGGCTAGCTATAATACAGAGGGGGTGGGCTGCCATTGTGTCACCCTGGCAGGGGGCTTGTCTGTCTGCCTAGGTGATGCAGCACCCGACGGACGGCGGGCAGCTTCTGGGCCTCCACAGCAACATGAAGGACGTGAGCATCCGAGTGGCTGAAATCAGCATCTACTCTTTGTCCAGTCAGCCCATTGACCATGAGGATGGGAGCGTCCCCTCAGGCCCTAAAATCAAAGCTTCAGGTGTGTTAGCGCTCATCACAACCTGAAGGCAAGCGTTTGGGACAGGACATGGGTAACGGAGTGCATCCCCAAGTGCCTGCCAGCAATACCAATCATTTCACTGGAGCCATGACAGGCATCATGCTTAGTTGTGGCATCTGCACTGTCTGCTTTCAGATCGCTCCCCAGACATTGATAACTACTCTGAAGAAGAGGATGACAGCTTCTCCTCAGAGCAGGAAGCCAGCGATGATGCTGTGCAGGGTCAGGTAAGGGAGGCCTCTCAGGGTGGCTTATGTCCTGGTCCCATTTCTGGGGCAAGAATCAGGGGTTGAGGGTCTTGGTCACTGTGAGCCCTCTCATCTCCCTTGAAAAGATTTGTCATGGTTTCAGAGGGCAGAGAACCACAATACCTGACAGCAGGAGGAACTGTGGGCTGCTGTCAAGCCCGTGGTGGGGCAAGGGACTTTGGAGAGCCATAGGTATCACCAATGTGTCCTTGGAGCCATCTGATCTGCAGCACAAAATCCCTGCTGAGCCCCCTCCACCTTGCACGACGATTCTCTCCCATCTCCCTGTGATAACAGGCCAGAGGCTGCCCTCTCTGAGAGAGAACAGAGCTTTTAGGAAGAAGTACAGTCTGGGCCTGGAAATGGTCAGAGGTGGCAGACCCATCCCAGCCCTGTGATGAGCCACTGCTGTTTGCTGTCCTCTTGTTGTGGTGCCTACACTCAAGGCCAAAAAAGTCTTGTGGTAGCATGCTGATCAAGGACAGGGACAAACCCCTGTTCAGGGTCCTCCACATTACCTATCCCATCATGCTGGGTTAACACATCAGGGCCCTGTGTTCCTGGGAGCTGTGTGTATCGTTGAGGCTGATCCCTGGAAGAATGCTTTTTGTGAGCTCAGGTGCTGCACCCTCTGAGCTAACCCTGGAGAGGGGAGAGCAGGAGAACAAAACATGGGTCATGGGGAGGCTGGTGAGTACAGAGAGAAGAGTTTTAGGTTTTAACAAGGACTGTTGCAGAAAGCTGCACTCCATCCTCTGAATCTTGCTGGTACATGTCCCCCTGGAGAGGCCTGGGGGCAAAGGTGCTGGGGAAGAAAGTCTATTGGGGGACAGTGCTAAGGAGGGAGAAGGACCTGCATAGAGAGAGGTTGGGGAAGTGAGAAGCAAGACTTTGGGAGCAGGGTGGACCAAAGCTTTTCAAAATGGGGGGCAAGCATGGAGAAACTGCTAGGAGATGCTGCTCCCTGCACTCTGAGTTGCTCTGATGTTCTGTGACCTTTTTCCTGCAGGATCTGTTTGATGAAGAGGATGACTTGAGGAAAACCAAGAAGGCTAGGAGGAAAATGATCCGAACCACATCAATAACCAGAGTAACATCAGCATTTACAACGTGATCAAAGGGATGGAAGGGATTCACTTCCTCCCCTCCCTGCAGGGAGTGAGGAGAGTTGAGGGGGGGTTGCTGGCATCGGTGCAGAGCAGGGGAGAGAGCCCTTGGCTCTGAGAAGGAGAAAACCTCTTGCCATTAATGAGTTAGCTTGTTGCTCAGAGCTGTACCCTAGCTCATGGTCTGTACTGTGTTTAGCCTGGCTTCCTATCAGTGATGATCTGTGTGCAACACAGTTTTGACTTGCTGCTTTGACATCGTTCTTCTTTTTCCCTCGGCAAGGAAGGGGAAGGTTGGTGCAAGGAAGGGTGAGCCATTAGTAGCTCTTCTGCCTGTCAGCAGAATCGGGGAGCTGCCCTGCCAGCCTCCTGCTCTCCAAGCATCTCTTCGTCCCCATCTGCTTCAGCCCTGCAGATCCCTGGGCACCTTCTTCCTGAGTTTGTTCCCCATCTTTTCTTGCTTGAAGGCAGCATTCCTCAACCAGATGGTCTGGGGAGAAAGGGGATTTAAATAGAGAGAAAGTGCTACTCCAGCCTGTAGCAGAGAGAGTCTGAGTCCTTGCACCCTCCCTCATGCCCAGATACAGCGGCTTCTTGCAGAGTCCAGATTTAGTCCAAATCCTACAGCAAACTTAAAGAGCAAGGGAGATCGTAGCTGAGCTCGGGCCTGTGGACCCAGAAAGGAGCCGATGGCATGTTAAAGAGAGCAACCATGGCCTGTACATTAGTCATCTTGGAACCTGGTTTGGTAGTTTTGCTGATCTTTTTTCTTTCCTCGTTTTGTTTTAGCAACCAAACTTCAAGCAGAAATTTGTGGCTTTGCTGAAGAGGTTTAAAGTGACAGAGGAGGTAAGAAGCAGGAAGGCTGCCCCACCTGTCAGTGTCTCCTGCAGATGTGTAGGTGTCAGAGTGCTGGTTCCCACTCACTGGGAGCACAAGGCACGAGCTGCAGGTGCTCAGGGGTGTTATCAAAGGTGGTGTGAGACATGGCACAGACTGGGGCTTGGCTTTTCCAAAGCCTTCTGGCTCATGAAGGCAGCTCTGACCCTCATGCTCAAATCAAAAACACCTTCCTGTTGGGGAGAGGGGCCAGGGGAAAAAAGGTGCTGTCATACACTGGCTCTGCCCCATGAGCTGGCATTGCAGGGGCAATCCTGTTCATGTCTGAGAGCAGGCTAACATCATCCTGGGGTTAGCTGGCTTTGGCTGGGAGCCTGCACTGAGTGTGCGGCACAGCCAGTGGAGGCCCTTCCAGGTGTCTTAACTCCCAGTAAGTATGATGTGTGTCTGAGACTCATTTGGATGTCATGCTCCTGGCAGCCGCCTTTGGCCCAATGACAGTGTCACTTGCTTCTTCCACAGGCTGGATTTGGCTCCCTGAGGTGGGAACAGTGCCGTGGTGTGCCTCATGGCTGGGAGGGAGCTTGTATGTGCCTGAGATGCAGGTGACTCCATATCTTTTCATTGCCTTCTGGGCTTGGTCCCACAGGTCCTGGATTCTGACCCTGTAGACCAGACCCAGGAGGTGGAGGAAGACCTGGGCTTGCTCTATGACAGCCTGGAAGAGTGCAACAACAGTGACAGCGGCCCGGAGATTGAGGACAATGAGAGTGTGCACAGCACACCCAAGCCCACCCTGAGGTAAGGGTTGCAGGGAGTCACAGGCCAACAGCACAGTCTATGGGACCTGCAGAAATGCCCTCTGACACTTTTCTGTTGCTTGGGCTAATGCAGGCATTGTCTTGTCTCCACTCCCATCACCATCTTCTGTGGGCACCACTGAGCTCCTCACTTGCATATCCTGTTTAATAAACTCAAAACTGCCCGTTAAAATTGGCTTCCTTCACATTTAGTCTCATTTAATTTCCTGCCAGTCCAGCACCTGACACTTACTGATCTGCTGGAAGAGTACATACTTGATCTAAGCCCCCGCTATTCCCAGCTCTCACATCTTTGTGCTGATGGTCCTGGCCTTCTCAGGGCTCTCCACACTGAAGCATGCCTGTCTTTTGAGCACTTTGTGACTGCTTGGGCCAGTCCTTGTGTCCCTGTGAGGTCTGCATGCTGCATTCCCACTCTTTGTGGAGACATGTGACTAGCAACCATCAGTGATGTTCCTCACCCCATTCCCCAGGCACCAAGTGGCTTGACTTGCTTGGCCAAGCACTGCTGACTTGGCACAGAGGTCTCCAGTGGACCATGCAGTGAAACCAGGCTTTTCTCCCATGTGATCTGCATTCACCTGGCCTCTCTGCTCCTGGCTGTTCTGTTTCCGTGCTGTACTTTTGTGAGAAAGTTGCCTTTTATTGTCTTTCTACTTGGCTGCCTCACGGTGCACTAGGTCTCTTCTAGCCAAGCCAAGCTTACTTGTCATTATTGTTTCTATAGTTCAGTGTTTAAATATAATTTGGATTAGCTGGAATCCCTGCTGAAGGTACTTAGCAGGGGCAGCAGACTTCATCTGCCACAGGCAAACTGTTTGAAATTAAATCTGCTGGATTCAGGAACCCATGGGGCACTGGGGAAGGAACAGGAACATGACAGAAGTCATGGCTTCCACAAACCCACAAGTCATTGTGAAGGAGACAGCAGGTACTTGGGCAAGGGGGAGCTGCTTAGGTGGTCTGCTTGGACTCCAAAAGGAGTTTCACATGGCCTCTTATCAAAGAATTTAAAGAAACAAAGGTGCTGTGGGAGAAAAAGGAAGGTCTTTTTGTGGTCAGATAATGCTTTATGTACGTAAACTATGTAAAACTATCTAAACTGTAAGAAAAGTCTATTGAGAGTATTTAAATATAAGACCCCGCACTGGCTCTGCAAGTGCCTACTTGCAAACATCTGGTCACTGGGAGAGCATCCTAGAATAAGTGCTGGTTTGTGCTTGTACCTGCCTTGGGTGTTTGCTGCTGTCTCTGGTAGGACAGCCTATCGAGCCCTGGGCTGTTTTTCAGCCTGTTCACAAAGTGTCCCTAGCTTGGTTTGCTCTCTAGTGCCTCAGTTTCTGGCAGTGCTGAGTGTGTATCCCCTTGATTTCACATTACGGGGTCTGTATTTTTCCTAAGGAGACGTGGGAGCTGGCTGCCAAGGTCTTTAGTGTAGACCGCGTGGCTCCAAGGCCCTGCATAGTCTTCTCAGCTGGTGATGACCTTCCAGCCCAGCCTGTAAATTCAAGATGTGATCCTCACATTGGATTTATTTATTGTTGTAGACAGCCTTGCTAGACACTGTGAAGGTCTCTGTGGAGCAAGGGCATTAAGGTCCTTAGGGGTGAGCAGTGGCCGGTGCTCTGGATTGGGCCAGTGGTGTTGGGAGCAGATAGCCATCCTTTTGATCAGCCAGGGAGGCCATGCAGCTGTAGGCTGCTCCTGCACTGAGGCAAAACTGGAGCTAGAACTGAGGCTGTTAGGTAAGACCTCAACAGTTAGAGCCTTTGATTGAAGACCAGAGGAGAAGGAGCAAACATCTCCATAGGTGATGGGGAAAATGGATGGGGAAGAGGGGGCTAATTCATTGAAAACAGAAGGAGGCTGTGCAGAAGGGCTAGGGTTTACCTAAATCTCAAGCTGCTGAGACTCAGACTTTAAACCACGGCACAGGGAAAGCTGAGAATCGCAGAAGAGCTTTGTGCTCAGTGTGACACATCCTTTAGGGTTGGAAGCTTCTGAATTGCAAGTGAGAGAGGGCAGAAACAGACACAGCTTCCATGGGGAAGGGGGAGACAGCCCCATTTAAATGGGGTGTTGAAAGCCAGACCAAGTGTATACAATCTAGACACATCCAATCTCTAAGAAAAAGGAGGGAATGAAGATACCTTTTTGAGGTGCCAGTGGCACCAGGGGTATGTCACATTCTGGTGGGATTACTGGGACAGTGCAGAGGAGTGTGGGAGAGATGCTGATTGGGGGGCTGAATTATTAGAAAACTTACATATTTCTCTGGTTTGACTCTTAAGTTATTAACATAGCCTGTAAGGATTGAAATTGCTGGCTGAGAAAAGACAAGTGTAAAGTAACGACTGTACAGCATGGTGACAATGCCTGAGATCCTGTAGCAGAGACTGGAGGGGTGGAGAGAGCAGAAATCTGTTAATAACAGGAGACATCTTTTATCCCTGGGTGACCTGGAGAAAATGTCCCACCAGCACACAATGCTGACTCTAAGCTTTGGTAAATGAACGTGTTGTGAAGTAGCTGGTCACAGAGCCAATGAGAGGAAAATCGAGCCTTGACTTCTCCCAGCTGGTGTATAAACATTGCTGCTGAAGAGCTGCTCTGTGGTGGGGACCATCATTTACTGAGATGAAATGTCCTTGTAGGAGTAGTAAAAGCAAAGAACCTGACAAACACGGTTGTGCCTGGCAGCACAGCATGACATATACAAATGAGGAAACATGTTAAATGGAAGGTAAAAGGAGCAGCCAGGATGTTCAGAGGTCTGTAGGTATCCTGCAGAAAGCTGCAGATATATCCGGATGAGGACAATAGAAAACAATGGAAAGCTTGGTAGAGTCCTAACAGAAGAACTGCTCTATATCCTACGCCTCTGTGGCCATTCCTGGAAATTTACAACCTGGTATCCCCATCTACACACCAGGCGAATCAGGAGAAACTTTTCCCGGGAGTTAGTGAGCGTATGTACAGCTTAGAGGGAAGAGGGCTTGGATCTCCTGCAGGAAAGTCACACATTGCAGATGGACTGCAGTCGCTGCAAGGGTCCTGGGAAAGCTGACAGGTGAGATCCAGTGATAGAGCCTGCTCCTTTGCTAAAGACTGGTCTTTGAGCAGCCCACAGGATGTGGAGGGGGTCCTTGGCAAATAAATAATGGGTGGAAAAAGGGGCAACAAAGGTGGCAGCTCACACTGTGGTGGCAGAAGCAGTCCTGCTGCCCCAAGGGAGTTCTGTGTTGACCATTGTGACTTGGGAACAGGACCTTGGAGTTGCACTGGGTAGCTCTACCAAAACATCAGCTCGGAGACCTGAAAAAAGGCAAATTTAAGTGCTGGGGAACAAAACAGGACATTGCTGTGCTGCTGCGCTACCTGCAGTGTGGTTCTGTGTGCAATACTGTGGTCTTCAGAGCCTCAGGAAAGGGGAAAGCAGAAAGGGAAGGCGAAAGCTGCTGCTGGAAGTGTGCAGCAGCAGCAGTCAGAGACAAGGAGCCCTCCCTGGAAAAGGAGGAGCAGAAGGGAAGGCAGCAGAAATCTGTGGGAGCTGTGGTGGTACAGAGGGGGCAGAGAGGCTCAGCAGCACGTTGGAGTTGTGGTGTTGACAGAGACCATATACCGGTGAGATGGGGCAAGGAGGCGGTTCCTCACCCTGCACTGCAGTGGCAGGGGATCCCTGAGAGAGAAACCGCTGCTGGCTAGGAGACAGGGACCCTGCCTCCAACTCACCGGGGTCAGAGGTTTAGCCCTGTTGGTCTGGGGTGGCCCCATCCTGTCCCTGCACCCAGCATTGCTGCAGCAGACCGTGGTGCATGGGGCTGGCAGTCTGCTGGCGGGTCTGCTCCTAGGCTGTCAGTCGCTCAGACATGTGGGTGTCTGGTCCTGTGTCCCACTGGGGACCTCTCCACAGTGCTCTGTGCTTGGGACAGGCTGGCGGGGGTGTGCTGGGATCATGGTGACTTTGTTCCTCTCTTATTCCTGCCTTTTTCTCTCCCATCTGTCTGTCTGTCTGTCCGTTCGTCTGTCTGTTTCTCTGCAGGCGTTTCTTTGAGGGAGTCTCTCATTCTGGTTCCCAGACTGAGATCGGCAGTCTGCACAGCCAGAAAGGGCAGGATCAAGAGGCGGGCAGCCCTGTGAGTTACACCACCACCACCACCACCTCTTGCCCCCTTCCCTCCCCAGCCAGCCTAGCATCCCTGCAGTGCCTGCAGCTCCCTCTGAGACCACAGCTCCTGGCAGCACCTGCCTGGCGCTGCTCCTTCCCTTCTTTCCTCTTCTTTTTCCCAGCGCAGGCAGACAGGTAGCGATGGGGGGCATCCTCTGGGGCCAGTCCCAGGGGAACGCCAGGCTCCCCTGTGGGAGTGTGTGTTCTGTGAGGCCACGCATGGGTCACTGGCAGCCGCCCTGCTCGGGGCGCTCCATCCTGCGCTGACCCCACTCCCTGTCCCCCAGGGCGAGGCGGACAAGCGGAAGCCAGGAGTGCTGCGACCACAGGAAGAGCCAGGAGTGGAGGTCCCTGCAGTGGTGAGTTGAGGCTACGGGATGTGGAGTGGAGCTGGAGGTCCCTTAGGCAATACCCTGCTTTCTGGGGGACCAGGGTTGCCCAGCAGCCTGGGAGCGGGACTGGGGGGACAAGTAGATTGGACTGGAGAGCAGCAAGAGTGGCAGGAAGGTTAGGGTCTGCAGAAGATGCAGCCCAGCCCCCTCAAGGCCCTGCAGCCTTGGCTCTCCAGCAGGGCCACCAGGCCTGTCCTGGGTGGGGGCACCCATGCGTGCAGGGAGCAGGGCAGGGAGAGCGCTGTGTGCGAAGTGACTGTGTGTGGCCCTCAGGAGCTGGCTGCAGAGGAGCCGTGTTCACGGCTGGCCCCCGCAGAGGCTGCCACGAGGGAGGGCAGTGTGGACAGGCTGGCCCAGCTGGGACCCGGGACCAAAGCTGAGATCCCCAGTGCTGTGTCTCCCAGGTAAGGCGGGTCTGCACCCCATGCCAGGGCTGAGAGGGCTCATGTTGGCTGCCTGGAGTGAGTGGGGGTTGGTGGAGATGGGATTTCGTCAACAGTGTCGCCTCTCCTGCTTCTCGCTCACAGCAAGGCAGAGAGCAAGCAGTTGTGGCGTCCCCGCAGCACCTCTGTGAAGGACCGGCAGAGCTCAAAGGGACAGGGTGGCCGCACCAGCAGCCTGGACAGTGAGAGCTCTCCAGACTCATGGCACAGCACCCAGGTGAGGCCCTGGAAGCTGCCTCACCTGGAGGCTTCTCACTCAAGAGCCCTGCCAGGCCTTCAGCCACGGGCAGAGTGGCCAAGGCAGCCGGCTGGGGTTAACCTTTGGGGTGATGCTGTCACAGGTGCCCCGAAAGTCTGTTTACGATCAGCTGAACCAGATCCTGGTCTCAGATGAGCAGCTCCCTGAGAGCATTGTGCTGGTGAATGTCGCTGAGTGGCAGGGGCAGGTGAGTAGGCGTGGCGGGAGCTGGATGCATGGGGGGAGCTGTAAGCAGGGTCCCAGGGGATTCTCCCAGCCATGGCAGGGCATCCTAGGGAAACTGGCACCAGCTGTGCCCTCTTCTCCCCCAACGTGGCCCTTCATTCAGGGAGACAGGACATTTCACAGTGCTGAGCTACATACACAAGAGTCTGGTGTGTCTACTCCGTCATCTGCCACACACCAGCATTGCTGGATCCTCAAAGCATGATGCCCTGAGCAGTCCCAGAAGGGCTGGTTAGTGGACTGTGCTTTGTGTCCTCACTGCTTTCTCCTGGCTCCCAGTGACCACACTGGTCAGAGCTTTGTTGGATGTGCTGGCAGAGGTGCCAGACTCCCGCTGCTGGTGCCAGGCCCCGGGAAGCAGCAGAGGTGCCGTTTCCCACTCAGAAGTGGGAGAGCGTAGCCTGCCGCTCCCAGGGAGTGTTAACTGCATTGTCAGAGGTGGGGTCTCTGGGCAGGGAGGCACGTGAGGCCTTCCTGCCTCATGCTGGTCACCATCGTGTCCATGTGAGGATGGGCCCAGCCCCTGACGAGCACCTGCCTCCCCCATGCGTGGAGGAGTTGACTGCTGAAGGTGAGCAGGGCCACGTACGCGTGCGCAGACATGCAAACAGGAGTTATATAAAGCACTGGTGAGACCCTTTTGGGATCCTGCAGCTACATCTGACACCCAGAAACAGTGCTGAAAAACCAAGGCAGGGTTTGTGGCAGAAGAAACGGCTTCTCAGTGAGAGGCGGTGGAGTCTTGACCCAAGCCATGCATCCTTGGTGTGTTCCTGCTCTAGCTTTTGTCCTGATGGGGAAAAAGGAGCAATACCCATTCCCAGACACTGTCATGGCATGTTCTAAGCCCCCTTGTCTGGCATGACTTCCTGATTTACCACTGCTCAGCTGCACGCAGACACTTAAGGAGGCACAGAAGGATTTTGGAGTGCCACAGTGGAAGAGGGAGAGAAGAGAATGAGCAGAGGGTGACTGAGCCTAAAGCAGGGCCCTGCTGTGGGATGGGAGGATTTAAATCAGAGGGTCCCTGGACCAAACCCTTTATCTCAAGGAGCACAGCCTGGCTCTTGGGACAGTTTGGCCCTTGCCATCGGAGGGTGGTGACTGCTGTGCTGGGGCAGCCAGCCCCCTGGAGCAGAGCTGGGAGGAGCGGGGATGCTCAGGCATGCAGCCAGGCGTCATCTGATGGTTTCAGCCTCCCCACACGGCATGGGTGGGAGCAGGGGCCCCAGCTCTATCCCGGGGGGCACTGGGGCCAGGGCAGGCGTGGGCTTGTGCTGGCCAGCACAGCCATGGCCCCCCAGGGTGCCTTAACCTGAGCTCTCTGCATTGGCAGTACGTGAGTGAGCAGCTCCAGGCGCACAAGCAGTTGGTCGTATCCACCTGCTCCGTGGCGGACATCCAGGCAGCCTTCAACACCACCGTGTCCCGCATCCAGCGATAGTGAGTACAGCTTGGGCTCAGCCTGGCAGCTCCCTATGACTGCAGGGAAGGGCCGGGAAGGGCCCTGGCTCCCCCAGGGCTCGTTAGGACCCTTTGGCATTGTGGATGCAACTATAGGAGCGGGTGTAGGCCCTGGGGAAAGAGGGGGATCCCAGCGCTGGTTGTGCCCATGGCAGCGCTCAGCAAGCTGGAAATTGTCAGCAATGGGTTTCTTCTGATGCTGGTTCGGCTGGCCTGGCAGGGCATGTCCCCTTCCCCCAGACCCACCTGCTGAGCCACTCTGCATCCGTCATGGTCTCCTTTTCTCTCCCTTTGGCAGCTGTAACTGTAACTCCCACATGCCTCCCCCAGTGAAGGTGGTGGTGGCAGGAGACCAGAGCTACCTGAGCGTTGTTCTCCGTTTCTTCGTGGAGCAGCTGGCCAGCAAGACACCCGACTGGCTCAACTACCTTCGCTTCCTGCTTGTGCCACTGGGTGAGAGCCACCACGAGCCCGGCACCAGCGTTGTCCTCTCCCACCAGCCCGGGCTCCTCCGCCTGGAGCCAATGTCACCCTTCTCACCCGCAGGCTCTCACCCTCTGGCCAAGTACCTGGCCTCGGTGGATAACAAATACAGCACTCTCTTCCTGGACACAGCGT